CAGGAATAAAAAGAATAGATTAGTTAATAATTAATATACAAATTCTCCTTTACCCTACCTCATAATTATCTTTGAAGCGACCATAATAAATGATATCCAAAGATATTGACATAGGATTTAGATCAACTAGTAATATTAGTCTAATCACTCTCTCCCACCCATAGTCACAGTGCATAAATTTTTCTAAATCCATGAAACTTCAATCTATCTGTAACATTTGTGATGCCTCTCCGTGGACATAACCACATCAAACTAACACTCTTCCCAACAGACTACCATTTAAAAATTGAATTGGAATTGGAAAACTGTGATGATATTTACAAATGAATCATCCTACTAATCGAAGAAGAACTTGAAGTTAACGAAGTAAATGAAGAACCCGAAATAAATGAAATGGCAAATAATATGGACAACTTGATTCAAGCCCTTGTTAACCTTACCGAAGCCATAAATGCTGGATTAGCCCAATGACTGGAAAAAATCTTGATACTGATTAGGAAATTCCGAGGTGAAAACCAAGACCTGGTTGAGTGGATCAGGGATTTTGAAATCACTACTCACGCTAATAGAATCACAGACGAAAGAAAAATCCAAATTATATGAGTTTACCTTGAAGGAACCGCTACTGCTTGGTTTGACCAGAGGCATGCCGACACCAACTTTTGACTGAATGTTTAGACAAATCAACAGCATGATGAATACGACTTCAAATATTGATTTACCCTAAAGTTTTGGACAAATCGAAAAGTAGAACAATGGCAGGACGAACTCGAAATATTAAAACAAGAAGAAACTATAGAAGAATATACTAACCGTTTTATCCAGTTACTCAAAAAAGTCAATCCCGACAGACATTATCTAGCGGACTACCATATACGAATGTACAAAAGGGGACTTAAATCTGAAATCAGAAAGTGGGTTAATATTAACTCGGATGGTACATGGGATAATATTATCAAGGTGGCCAAGACTATTAAAGAAGTCAGTACTGAAGAAATAATGCAAACTTACCACCAACTCCAAGCTGCACTGTCCGTTGATGTTAATATATTGAATCAAACTCTTTGAAGCTTAATTGATAGGTTAGAATAAGTTGAAACCACCAAGAAAATGACTTATCAACCCAGAATATACGACAGAAACAGGAATCAACAAAGTACCAGAAATTCACCGACCTGTTATCAATGTGGCCAGACTGAACATATACAACGATTTTGTCAGAACACTCATAACACAAATAATATTCCCCCAAATAATCGACAGAGTCAATAGTCGACCTATAATGCAAACTTGGTGACTAATAGTAATAACCCTTTTGGATAAAATAATATTGCCACAACACAAGTGTCCAAAGCAAATAATATCTGACTAATTAATATTGATGCTCTTCTTTCACAGATCCAGACGCTTACTAACATTATTCAGGCATCTACTAATACTGAAAATAATACTCATAGTACATTGAACTCAACACTCTTGGCGATATATAAATACTTGGTCAGAAAATGTAAACAAACTAAGATAGAACCTCCGGAAGATGATATAAGCGAAGGGATTGAGTAAGCTGAGAAAATATCTATAGCATTTGAGCAAGTTGAGAACAAGCCAGAAGACAAAAAGAAAAAGAGAAAGGCCAAAGCAGAATTACCAGTACTTGTCTTCCAGGCTATTCCTTACGATATCTTAGATGATCTCGCTGCCGCAAAGGCCAACATTACCATCACGCAATTAATTAAAACTTCACCAGAACAATGCATCAAGATATTCAAAAGAATAAGACGATCTATCAAAAAGAAGATGACATAGAAGATGACTGGGATGACCAGCCAGGCAAGAATTAAAACTACCTCAGCTTGGTACGAAGCCAAAGTCGGAAATACACCTATCGACCTTATCATCGATACCAGAGTCTCAGGATGTGTGGTTAGTCACGAATTTCTAAAAAAACAAAATATGAAAATACAAAGGAAATCAAACATAATGATGACAGATATAAATGACCATACCAAGCAGCCGTTAGGAGTAATCGATGAGTTTCCAATCACATTTGATAGAATCATAATTCTGGTAGAGGTTGATATTATGGAAGCCAAAACCTATAGCGTAGTAATCGGTATGGACTTACTAAACAAAGTAAATGCCAACATCAACGTCAAAAAGGGTACTATGATACTAGAATGGAATGGGCAAAAAGGAAAGGTTAATATCCAGTATATCCATGGTCAAAGGAATCCTATAAACCTCGAATTTGATATAGATGACTCTGAACTCTCCGATAATGAATTAACTGATAGTGATAAAGAATTCGAAGAACAATAACTAGAGGATCGGAACTTTCTTTGTTGGATTGCCAAAAACTCTTAGACGCAGATACAAATGGTTATCTGAATGATGGATGAAGTTGACTTTGGAAGAATACCCCAATATATTGCCAGGAGAATACCAAAGGTTGATAATATCTGTATCTATAAGGAAGGAATTCAAATTAATAATAAGACAACTGATTGGGAGGAATATAGCCGCTTGGAAAGAAAATTTGACCAAATCAAATACCATAACTCAAAATGGAAGTTTGACAGAAAGGGCCTGGCTAAATGTTGGTGTCGACGTATACTTTCGAACTCAACCCATGAATGCTAAATATGCTATCAGAAATTGATCATATAGATCAATGTAAAGCTTCAAGTCCCTGACAACCTTTCTATTCTTCTAGACAAGAGCTCTTGTAAAGATTGGTGGATCGAGGTAGAAAACTAGCAACTCTCTGATAAAATTCCAATTATTGAAACCAAGTTTCCAACCAAAGAATCAGCTCTTGTCTGTCTTTAGCTGGATAAATGAGTAAAATACTGCCATGAATGTCAATACTATGTAAATAATTTAAGGACGATGATAGTAATTGAGCAAGATGAATTCAAGAATGAATATTGTGAAGACTGCGTAAATATAGAAAAACTAAACTTACCTGTATGCTCTCAGTGTGGTACTCGCGCTCCTGCATCCAAAATGTATGGTGTTAGAAGCTATTACTTGACCAAATATTTTTGCTCCTATTATGAACAATATGTTTATATGTTCAATCATGGAGACTGGAGGAAAAATAACAGAATGATTCAGAAGTTACGCAAAGAAGGAATACTTACTTTGGTATACCAGGAATGCAATGAAATTGGAAAGGCCATTCTGTCTTGCTATGTCAACGAAGATGACTTTGAAGATGAACTAGGATATATTAGTTACGAAGGATCCAAAGAAACTCCAGCAGCTGAAATCTTTATGTCAATATATCAACAACTAACTCCAGAATGATGATCACAATTAGCTCAGCTAGAATTCATCAATGTTCGCCTCTGTGCCGAATGTCTAATTCCTTGTGACTCTGAGAAATGTAATGATTATAGTGCGCAGTCCACACCAATCCTCAAAGCAAACCAGAATATTGACAAAGGAAAGGCCAAAATTGAGTTAAAGGATGAGGAGACTGAAATTCAAATGGAAGCTGAGATGAGAGAAGAAGTTGATTCAAGACAGGGGTGTTCTAGTAAAACAAATAATAAGGTGAGAAATAACAACTACAAGACAACAAATAATGACTACCATATACGAGAAACGAACTCTCACAGGAATGACGAAGAACATATTGAAAGAGGAAATGATCAATGTACTACATCAAAAGAAGCCAATTATCTAATTAAAATTTATACCAATGATGATAAAGGAAGGATTTCAGAACATGCTCACGAAACTGACGTGGGATTTGACCTCCACTACCCTGGAACAGAAACTATCACTATCAAACCAAGCCAAACTATTCTGATTGATCTCTTTATCGCATTTGAAGTTCCTGTAAGAACCGTCTGCCAATTAATATTACGATCGTCCTTAGTAAAAAAAAGGCATAGAAATGAAAGGAGGAACAATCGATGCTGGATATACCAGGAATATAGGTGTACTTATCTATAACAATTTGACTTCTCCATATCAAATTCAGCCTAATGAACAGATAGCCCAAGCAGTATTTCTGAAATTGGCAGACGTTGACAACGTTCAAGTAGTTTTGACGTGACAAAAATTAGGCGAATCTAGTAGAGGGGCTGCTGGCTTCAGATCTATGGGACAAGTTGAACTGGAGGTGTACCTCCTGAAGACAGAAGACCATGATGAAGTAATTGAACAAAGGAAGTTGGACTGACAGCAAATGAAGCAGTTCCAGAATTTATTGGATGCGTATAAGGATCTGTTTATTACCGATATAACCAAATTAGGAAGAATTAATTTAGTCCAATATATGATTGATATGACTGATGCATGCCCTATTCGATAAAGGGCATATAGGACAACTTTACTGGAGCAGAAATTTATTCATGATAAGGTACAGCGAATGTTGAAAGTAGGGATTATTCAATAGTCGAGTAGTCCATGGGCTTCTCCTGTGGTAGTGGTTAGTAAGAAGAATGGAAAAAAACATTTTTGTGTAGACTATCAGAGAATTAATGCTGTGACAAAGAAGGATGCGTATCCCTTATCACGGATTGATAAAATGCTAAAAAACTTGGGGAATGCAAAATAGTTCTCCTCGCTCAATCTCACCAGTGGATATTGGCAAATTAGGATGGAAGCCTCAAGTATAACGAAGACCGCCTTCATTTTATGAGAAGGTCTTTACGAGTTTAATGTGATACTGTTTGATCTCTGTAACGCTCCTGCTACTTTCCAACAGGTGATAGATGTAATGTTGGGAGATTATAATTGGAACTTCACAATGATCTATATCGATGACATCAACATTTACTCCAAGAATTTCGAAGAATACCTACAGCACCTACAAAAAGTTTTTCAGTGAATTAGGGAAGCAGGACTAAAATTAAATGCAGAAAAATGTAATCTTGTAAGAAAAGACCTACCATTCTTAAACCATGTAGTAACCGATCAAGACATTACAACCGATCCATCTACTGTTAGGAAGATCCAAGAATTCCCATGACCACGTATGGTTAGCTCTCTTCATTCATTTCTTGGATTAGCAGATTACTATTGAAAATTTGTTAAGGGCTTTTCACAGATTGCCATACCGTTATTTTACCTATTAAAGAATAATGTTAATTTTAGCTGGAAAAGGGAACAAGAAAGAGTATTCGAAGAACTCAAAAGATAACTGATCTTAGCACTGATCTTGATGTATCCAGATTTCTCTCGGAAGTTTTACTTATACACAGATGCTTTAGATATAGGCTTAAACGTGATATTATCATAGAAGGATGACCAGAATCGAGAACGCATAATTGCCTATGCTAATGTTTCACTTAAGGTGGGAGAAAAACATTACAGTATAACGGAAAAGAAAGTATTAGTCATCATCTGGGGAGTAAGACAATTCCGATATTATCTTCTTGGAACTCTTTTTAAAATCGTTACCAATTACAGTGCACTCCGTTAGCTGTTTACCAAGCAGGTTAATCCTGGTCCACAAGTATCCTGTTGGATAATGACGATGTTGGAATATATATTCACTATTTCTTATCATTCTGAAAAACTCAACCAAAATGCTGACACGCTCTCTCACATTAACCAAAATTAGTAGTGGAATGAGAATAAATCCAAGCAGTCAATCAAAATGATTAGACAGTGGCAAGGAAACAAAATTTAAATAATAAAAATGAATTAAATCAACTGAATTATTCACAAAAACAAACAATGGAGATAAATACTTATAATAACTTATTACACTATCTAGAAAACAGAAGTTATCCTATAGGATGCATGGAGAAACAACAATAACAAATCAAGAATCAAGCAAAATACTATATAATATGAGAAGAATTATTATATAAAATCAATAGAAGAAAAGAACCAAGCAGCCCTCTACGAATCCTGAAGGACACAGAAATAGAAGCTATTATGACTTACATGCATGGAGACTTACTCTCAGGACACTTTGTGTACGAAGGAACTTATCAACGTATTGCTGCTCATTACTGATAGACTGGTATGGGAAGTAATATCCATGACTTTGTAAAGTCATGTCAGACCTGTCAACAAACCGGTGGACGAAAAACCAAACAACCTCTTTTACCTATTAAAATCAGGATGCTATTTGACCGAATCATAATTGATCTGGTTGGGCCGTGTAAGCCAATAGCAAATGGAAACCGATATATCGTTGTGGCCATTGACTATCTTACAAAATGGCCAGAAGCTCGAGCGATACCTGACAAGAAAGTCAGTAACATTACGACATTCATTTTTGAAAACATAATTTGCTGACATGGTTGTCCCAAAGAAATTCAGTCAGACAATGGATCTGAATTTGTCGCCTTCATCATAAAATCGCTTACCGAACAGTTCAACATACAGCACAAGTTCTCCTTCCCATATCATCCGCAAATGAATAGTATTGTCAAATGTTACAATCAAATCCTTTGTTCAATGTTGCAGACATATTGTATCGAATTGGATACTGAATGGGATGTGTATATTCTTGTCACTCTGTTTACCTATAGAACATTGAGAAATGTTAGTACAAGATACGAGCCATTTTTTTTGATATATGAGCGTGAAGCAAGATTATCTATCGAATTTTAATATGAAACTCTCACAACAAGTACCGAAAATATAGAAGAAATTATGAAAAACTGAATCTTTACTATTATACATCACTTACCTAATCAAATCCAAATTGCACGGAGTAATGCACATGAAGCCCAATAAAGAACGAAAGAATGGCATGATCAGAAAATTTGACAGACACCAGTATTCAATATTGACGAAAAAGTGTTAATATACAACATGGTACAACATGCGCTAAAAGGAGACAAGTTCAAAGCCCAATAGAATAATAAGTGATACTATGTTCACGAGGTGTATGGCAATAACATCTACAAGCTACAAAATCAACGTGATCAAGTAATCAAGAAACCCTTTAATAGCACACAGCTCAAACAATATTATGAAAAACAGAATTCTCTGGAACATATGTCAACATCTTAATTATGGAATGATCAGTATCATAATATTGATCAATGATCATATAGAACGAATATTATTTAAACATCCCCGCCCTTTATCTTTCTACCACTCCAAAGGAAAAATAAAGCAATAAGCAACAATATCTGGCTAAATGAAGAAGTCGTAGCTTCTATATTGCAACTCGCTTGGCTATTACGAAAACATGGTTTTGACAGCACTATTAATTTCACAAAGAACCAACTACTCCTCATCAAAAAAGAACAGATGCAAGTCATCGATCTCGACCTATTAATAGATAATGCAACTCTGACCAAATCGAGACCGGAAGCAATGATTCATGATGAAGTGACCGAAACTGGTACTAGCAACTCCGAATCAATGACATCTGGGATTCAAGAACATTTCGAGTCCACCACACTTGCATGGAAGAAAAAGATCGAACTGGCTATTATAACTCTCACTCAACCTGAAGGAACAAATGCTCTTTAGTTACAATAATACTACCATCTTGGTGAACTAATTCATAACATGCCACTACGGCATAAGTGATAACTCTACATTCTCAAAAGGGGAATCAAGCAGCGGAATAATATTATTGCGATCAATCGTTACTGGCAAATTAGAAAGTGTACTTTCCGACTATTCCAACATAGTGGTCTGGATAAAATTGGTGAGCAACTGTCCTTAACACCC